TTTCATAGATTATGTGATAATAAATTTTGTACTATAACATTAATTAAAGTAAAAGGTACAGAAGAAATTATTGGAGGATATAATCCATCAGTATGGAAATCAGCTGGTGACTGTAGTAAAGCCAAAGATAGTTTTATATTTTCTTTTAAAAATAAGAATAGCTTCAAAGATCCAATTTTAAGTTATGTAAAAGATTATAATAAAGCTTTATTTTATAGATCCAGTCATGGTCCCACATTTTTTACCGATCTTGGCATTTATGCGAAAAATGGACATGTTAATAGAAATTATGATTTTATTCAAAATAAACAACAAAGTTATGAAAAAAAAATGAGAGATACAGGAGACGAATTTTTGATAGATGATTATGAAGTATTCCAAATTTTAAAAAGAGATCATTAATATTATAGGATATTATTTAAATTTATTTAGTTAAAATAAAAATTCGATTAGTAAAATTACTAGCCTAAACATTTCAAATTTATAAATTATAAATAAAAAAATGAATATTTATATATGGGCTCATAATCATTTGTGCAACTTCGAAATTAAAATTTAAAAATTACTTAAAATGATTTGCAACTGAACTTAGAAATGGTATCACTAGTAGGTCTTTATTTGATATTTTCAGTACACCATAAATAAAAGTGGCTAATGATGAATAAAAAAAAAAATTAGATTTGTAGACAAATTTATTAAGAATGTTATCTTTCAGTTAATATACATTTTATTAACAAAAAAAAAAAGTATTTGAAATTTGATTTTCTGGCTCTCTCAATGTTTTAAGGTTCTGTTAATCAATAAAATATTATTATAATTGTTTCATGGAAAGTCAAAAAAAAATTGTTAATTGAATCAATTAATTTAACATTAACATGTTAATATCACATATATAGCTAATTATTTTTCAGAAAGTCATTTGAACGGGATTTTAATTCAAAAGTTGTTTAAATTACTTTATTGTACAGCGCGCAGGAAAAAAGCCAAGTTGCAACCTGCTGATATCAAATTACAATTCAGTTAAATACAATCATTAATAATTTAAGATAGTATTAAAAATACGTAATACAAACAGTAATCAAAATCAGCTTACTTTTAAGTATCATAAATTAAATGGAATAGAGCAATCTAAAATAAGGTCTTTAATACAATGCCATACTTCAATTAACCAATTCATAAGCTACCATTTTTATGCTAGTTATTTATTTGATTAATGTCACTAATATTCACGTGAATTGCATGCAATATCACAAGCGTGGCAGAATTATAATATGACTAGTAAATCATCTTACAGTTAACACCTTTTGTAAAACATTAGATTATGTCACAATGTCTGCAATGTCCGCCCGAGTTATTTTTAATCACTGTTATCATGATTGTTAATCTAATTAAACTTTGTTGTAAATGTATTCTGCTTGAATGTAAGATTTAATAACGCTATTAAACTTTATTTAGATTGATAATATTGATAATCTATTTCATTAATTTTCGCTTCGTTATTCAAAAAAATTTTATTTTTTAATTATATTACTTTAACACACAATTATTATATTATGAATTATTATAAACTTTGTTATGTTTGAAGTTACTCGCCATATAAAATCTTATTAAATTTTTGGATGTTAAAAAATATACACACAGGCTTTTTTCCATTCCGTTTAGCTCGTTTTATTTATCTTGGTCGTGGGATAGGAAATTTTTAATAGCTTGCTTGTCATTATGAAGGACAAGATATAATTTCTTTGACATTTTATTATTTCAAAAGAGTATCCTTTGATATTTTATTATCAGAAATGTGTGAAAAGATATAAGATACAAAATTCCTTTTATATTTTATTATTCAAAATAAGATAAATCAGGAATTTTTTTAATTTAAGATTAAAAACGCTAAGAACATTATTTTGAATGTGTTTAAAAAAATGATTTAAGTACGTTTAGCTACTGTTCGACCTTATTATTTTAAATTTCTTGCTGCTTTATCTATACCAATATTTAAATATAATATTGTAACCTATTAAGTTTTGACAAATGACTACTTAAAGTGCGAATTATTTGTAAATGTTCCCTTATCCGATATGTACCTTTCTCATATAAAAAAGCCGAAATGCTTTTATACTTTACTATAAACCGGAAAACTGTTATTAAGTTCGCAGTGCAAATATTCAAACTTTGCACGTGATCTTTACTAGTGAACAATATTTTGTTACACTCTGTGACTCTGAACTAAATCATTTAACGTCAGTCTGAAGGACCAAGTGTTAAATGGTAAGTCTAATTTGCAAATATGGAAATCAGTTTGTCAGCTGATCATCGTCCAACATTAAATTGATGCACAATTTTGAAATTTTAAAAAAAAAATTTTTTCCCTATATTCGCTCATTTTCGCATTTGTTAAAAAATGTCCAAGCAATTTTTTTCAAGTTTAAGTCAAAATTATATTGAAATTTTGAAAGATGACGAATATTATGATATTACTATCGAAGTTGGCGAAGATCCAAATGTAAAAATATTTCGTGCACATATGATTATCTTATGTTACCGTTCTCCATTTTTACGAAGAACTTTAGCTTCCAACAAAAAAAATGATACTCATGTCTTAGCTCATATTAAGCTGTCAAATATCTCTCCAGAAACTTTTCAGATTATTTTAAAGTAAGTTATAATTATGATGAAATTTGTTAATAAATTTAGTTTAACGTAAATTTGTGTAATATAGATATATTTATGGTGGTATCATTTCATTAAATGAACAAGAATTTTCAGAAATTTTATATATTTTGTCTGCTGCTGATTAACTTCATCTTCAAGAACTAGTTGATTATTTTCAATAATATTTAATTGAAAATAAAGTTGAATGGATGGAACAACATTTTGAACTTACACATAGAACAAGTTTTCATTCTAGTTCCTTATTAGAACTTCAAAAATTTTGTATAGATCTTATGGCTAAATCTCCAGAGAAAGTATTTAAATCACTTGACTTTATTTCACTTCCTGAAGAATCATTGGTTTCGCTCATTAAAAGAGATGATTTACAAATGAAAGAAGTTGAAGTTTGGGATCATGTATTAAAATGGGGTCTTGAGAAAAATCCTACGCTTCTTCCGGATCCTACAACTTGGTCAGATGATGATTTCAAAATGATGAAAAATACTTTACAACATTGTTTACCTTTAATTAGATTTTTCAGTTTATCTTCTGATGAACTTGTACAAAAAATTCGTCCATATAAAAAACTTTTAAACGATCAACTTTATGAAGAATTAATATATTCCTATTTGGATTCCAATAGTAAACCAAATGATAATATTTTACTTCCAAGATATAGAAATATTGACGGAATCATTGATTCAAAAATTGTAAATTTAAATATTGTTTCTTTGGTTTCAAGATGGATTGATAAAATAGATATTAAAAGCAAATATACTTATACAAGAGAATTTTATTTACCATACAAATTTAAATTATTATTAAGGGGAAGTCGAAATGGATTTACTCCTGAAAGTTTTCATGAATTATGTGATAATAAACCTTGTACTTTAACATTAATTAAAGTGAAAGGAACGGAAGAAATTATCGGAGGATATAATCCAACAATATGGAAATCACCTGGTGGGTATGGTGAATATGGTAAAACCAAAGATAGTTTTATATTTTCTTTTAAAAGTAAAGATAATTTCAAAGATCCAATTTTAAGCTATGTAAAAAATTATGATCAAGCTTTTTTCTATGGATCCAGTTATGGTCCCACATTTGATGATCTTGACATTTATGTGGAATATGAAGATGATGAAGACGAAGATGATAAACACAAAAATTATAATTTTATTCGGTGTGTACAACGAAGTTATGAAAAAAAGATAAGAGATACAGAAGACGAATTTTTGATAGATGATTATGAAGTATTTCAAATTTTAGAAAGAGATTATTAATATTATAATTTATTAATGTATCATTTAAATTTATTTAGTTAAAGATAAAATTGGATTTACTAAAATTAGCCTAAATCATATAATGTTTTATATTTGATATTCTAATGTGATTCATGTGAAAATTATTCAAAACCGATTTTGTAGTTAAACTTAGAAATGTGTAACAGTGTGTTTATATTGGACATTTTCATCTATACTCCATAAATAAGATGGGTAATAAAAAAAAAATCAAGAATGTTGGCTTTAATATATAAATATTATAACATTTTTGAAAAAATCATTTTTCGAAATATTGTATATACTACGTGCATACAATTCTGGTTCATACAATTTTTAAGGATCTGTTAGTCGATAAAATATTATCGTTATTATAGTTTCCACACGAAAAGTTACGAAATTGGCGGAATAAACTTGTTTATTGTTTATTAGGGATTTAAGTGAATCAATTAATAACCACTTTCTGTTAAACTTGACATCTTAACAGATCAAGAAATTCTTATTCATGCTTCAAATATTTTTAAATTAGGGTAAATATTATCTCCTTATTTGTAAACTCTTAATACTGAAACAATTTGCTACGCACATCGCACATAAAGTCAAGATTTATTATATCGTATATATATTTCTATTTTTTTTTTTTTTTTTCCAAAAAGGTCCTTTACAATGCGCAGAAAAAGTTATAAATAGACAAATCATTTGTTTACTTGCTAATAACTAATTACTTACTTTCAAGCAAATGTTATCTTGACGTAGATTTACAATCTAAGATGATATTTTAAATTGTATAACTGAGAAAAAAAATACGTAATAAAGCAGTAGTTCGGGATCATCTTTCAATTTTTCACAAAGATAAAGGCATAAAGCTATTTACTGCAATTTTTTAAAATTTTAATAAAATAAAAGCTATAAAGTAAATATTTTAGAAAAATAAATTCAAGTAAACTTTTTTTTTTTAACGCAAATGCTTCATTATATTAATTAAAGCCTCTAAATCACTATTTTTATTGTTAAAACTATCCGATGTAAAAATTGAGTTATATATATATTACATAAAACCCTAAACGTAATATAAATTTCTTGGAAATATTCAAATTTTAAAGAATTTAAGATAGCCGTTATTCATATTTAAACATTAAACATTTCTTTTTAAAATTTGAAATACTTCATATTCTTCTATTAAAAATAAATCTTCTGACTCTCTTATCTTTTTTTCGTATCTTTTTTGTTGACACTGACAATGTTTATAACTTTCTGAATCATTACTTGTACTCACAACTATTGCAATGTCATTACTAAATGCAGGACCATATGTACTGCGATAAACCAATGCATAGTCCATATTTTCTATATGACTTAAAATTGGGTTTTTAAAATCATCCTTATTTTTAAAAGAAAATATAAAACAATCCTTTGTTTTACCATTTTCAATATATTTAGTTGATTTCCATATCAAAGGATTATATCCGCCAATAACTTCTTCTGTACCTTTTATTTTAATAAATGTAACAGTATGAGGTATATTATCACATAATTCATGAAACTTTTTAGGAGTAAATCCATCTCGACTTCCCCTCAATAATAATTTAAATTTATAAGGTAAATAAAAATCTCTTATATGAACAAATTTGCTTTTTATATCAACCTTATCAATCCATCTTGAAACTAAAGAAACAATATTTAAATTTACAATTTTTGAATCAATGATTTCATCAATATTTCTATTTCTAGGAAGTAAAATATTATCATTTGGTTTACTATTGGAATCCAAATAAGAATTAATTAATTCTTCATAAAGTTGTTCGTTTAAAAGTTTTTTATATGGACGAATTTGTTGTACAAGTTCATCAGAAAATAAACTAAAAAATCTAATTAAAGGTAAACAATGTTGCAAAGTATTTTCCATAATTTTGAAATCATCATCTGACCAAGTTGTAGGATCCGGAAGAAGTGTAGGGTTTTTCTCAAGACCCCATTTTAATACATGATCCCAAACTTCAATTTCTTTCATTTGTAAATCATCTCTTTTAATCAATGAAACTAAAGATTTTTCAGAAAGTGAAGTAAAATCAAGTGATTTAAATACTTTTTCGGGGGACTTGGCCATAAATTCTATACAAAAATTTTGAAGTTTTAATAAAGAATCTGATTGAAAACTTATTTGATATATAGAATTAAAATACTGTTCAATCCATTCAGTTTTACTTTCAATCAAATAATTTTGTAAATAATCAACTAATTCTTGAAGGTAAAGTTGATCAGCAGCAGCCAATAATTTAAAAATTTCTGAGGATTCTTGCTCATTTAATGAAATGATACCATCATAAATATATCTATATTATGAAATTATATTAATAATTAACGTAAATTAATAAAAAAAAAAGTTAAATTCAACTTACTTTAAAATAATAATAAAAATTTCTGGTGAGATATTTGGTAATTTAATATGAGTTAAAATATTATTATCATTATTATTTTTATTAGAAGCCAAAGTCCGTCTTAAAAATGGAGAACGACAACATAGGATAATCATATGAGCGCGAAATATTTTTACGTTCGGATCCTCACCAACTTCAATAGTGACATCATAATGTTCATCATCTTCCACAACATCAATATAATTTTGACTCAATCTTGAAAAAAATTCTTTAAACATACTTTTATAAAATTTATAAATGTGAAAGGAAATGAATGAGGAAGAAAAAAATTTTCAAAAAATAAAAAAAAAACAAAGTATTTAATGTCGAATGATGATCAGCTGACAAATTGATTTCCATATTTTCCATATTTGCAATATTTGCACACTTTGTCATTCCTTGCCGATCAGCTTAGCCTATAATATTATACCTCTATAAAATTTGAATTTTAAAAGTATAAAATTACGAAAAAATACTGAGATAGGTCCCATTTATGAATGATATATTGATTTTTTTTAAAAATAATTGACCAAAATATTCTTTCAAAGTTTATTTACATTTTACGAAATCTACAAAATCCAAACCTATTGTAATATAGAAGAAAATATACTTGGAGAATATTTTTTCATACTTAATAAATAAACTCTAGGAATTTAAGTAATCACAAGATAATGACTATTGCATCGTGAATATCGTAATAAACAAAATAATAATGATAACATCTTTAGATAAACTAAGTTTTGTATTTTTAAGTCCTCGCTAGATTATTGTCCTGTTACTAGGCATCATTATGGGATCACATAATTCAAAAAGAACTTCGTTAGCAGGTCCAAGAGCGAGTAGCCGAGTACTACATTTTTGGAAACAAAGAAGTTTGAAACAAAGAAATTTCCATTTTCACAAAATAATCAGCAAACGTTATTATTATGTAATACCTTTGATGGATCCTTTCTTTGAAACTCAAAAGTCAGAATAATTCGTATGGTTAATTAAAAAATCCGATATTGAGTATTAATGTATTATTTTGGGAATTAACAAGTCGTAACTCACTTTTTAATTTGAAATAATGATTTAAATATAGCTGATAGGAGCATAGGAGGTGTGTATAAATTTGTATTCGATGCCTGATATATTCGCATTAATTATACTTTGTAAATATAAGGGTTAAATAATTAAGCTATTAGTAAATTTTAAGTATGTTTAATTATTCTTAATAAGTTCAAATTCGATATAAACCGATTGAGAGAATATTAATTAAAAAATGATCACGAAGTGATATTTTGGAATCTTTTCAAAATATTTTTTTTTTGATTTGAATTTGGTTAATTGAGATGAAATTATCATAATATTTTTGAACTGTGTGATATTTATATATTTTTGCATGATAAAACGTTGAAATATTATAATACAATGATATTTTCATATATATTATGCGTTGAGGGGCCTAAAAGCAAGATTTTTAAAGAACAATTTTTGCTTGTTATTTATTGTATAAGAAATTATTTCATTTTAAATCATTAAAAATAAATTTTTTATTATTATTAAGGTAAAAATTCCTTTTATCTTAAAGATTTGCGTACATACTAACGCTAATATTAATTTTTCTGATGTGATCATTTAAAATGAATATTTTCCAGAAAAGGCCGAAAAGGATTGGCTGTCTGGTACATTTAGTACATTGAAATATAGAGAATGTAAATTAAAAATGGTTAAATAATAATCTAAACGTCGGATAATCTTAAGATTAAAATGTTTTGAAAAAAATTGTATCCGAGTATTAATTCCCAAATTTATTCAAATTTATTTAGCAAAAGATCCGTTAGAAGATATTCGCGTGAAAAAAATTTTCAGTTATGTTTTTGTAATTATGACAATGTGACAAATGAGGTAAAAAGAAAGAAACATTCTGAAAAATATTTCTCAAGTATTTTAAAATTATAGTCCGAGTACGATTCTAATTTTTTTACCTTGTATCATGTGACTATAAATTAAAAATCTCGGGCACGTGACATAAAGTGTGACGTCTCAATTTTGACGCTTTAACTGAGAAGACTTTTAATATTTAAGTAACTTTGTAGTAAAAAAGTCAATAGAAACAAAATAAATTTTTTTAAGTTTTAAATAGTTTTATAATATTTTATTGAATAATACTGTGAACAATATAGAAAAATTTTACTTTATATATTTATGAAATAAAATTTTTTTTTTTTCTTTGTTTTTAAAGTTCTCTGTATAACTGATAAAATAACATATACATAACTAAAAAATATATAAGTTTGTGCTATTTATGCAAAAAACGTCAAAATATATAAAATTAATATATATAAATACTTTAATACTTGCTAAAACAAACTTTAAAATTTCAAAGAAACGTAAAATATTATATAATATATGTGATAAAAATAATAAAAAGAAATAAATAAAAAGAAAAGACAAAAAGACAGTATTTATATAATAAAGGTTTCCAAGGTTTTCAAAAAATAAAACGTATAAAGAAATAGATGAAATAGGTGAACGGATCACGTACCCGAGCTTTTTTTTGTTGGTTACATGGTTACACCGGGGAGTTTTAATGAATGTAAGGATCGCTACGCCGCAAATTTAGATTTAATTATATTCGAGTATGAGTCTATTTTTTTCTTCGCATATGTAACGGAATGTAGTATAACGACTTAATTTCTATGCCACAAATTTCGATTTAATAAGAATTATAGTAACTTTTTTCGTTGACGTTTCAATCCGTATTATAAAATAATTTGGCTATTTTAGTTAATCGAATATTAAATTATAGTTCGAGTACGACTCTTTTTTTTTTTTTCTTGAACTATAAATTAATGAATGTATAGGCAAATTATATCGCAAAATTAAACCGGTTGCAGTATAACGACTCATCGCTACGCCACAAATTTAGATTTAATTTTTTTAATTTGATAATGGAATTTAATTTGGTTCTCATGAAAAGACTGCTATTATTTATTATTATTTCATGTCACACCAGGAAATTTTCCGTATAAAAAAATTAATTTAAAATTTGAATAATTTCTTCATGCATGGTATTTGATCCCCTGAATCTTCATATTATGGAATTCTAATAATATAGTCCTAACCCGAATAAGTTAGAGGAAATCCTTTTTAAAATATTTTTTCAACGGATATTTCTGAATATGTCCAGATAATGATTTATCTTTTAACCCGAAAAAATATCAAACAGGTTTTTCGGATCATTTAAACATCCGGAATTTATCAATTATATAATTTTTAATTGTTTTTTCAATCTATAAATTAATATGTATAAATAAATTTTTAATCTGGAAAATATCTTAAATATTCGTTTAAAAATCCGGAAATTTTCCGATCTATCTAATTCCGGTTTAATTCCAGACAAATATTAAATATCCAGTTCTGGGCAAAATTCGGACAAATACTGAATAAATAATGTTTTTTATATATTAAATTTTCCGAACTATTTAATTCCGATCTAATTCCAGACAAATATTAGATATCTAATTCTGGACAAATTCGGGATAAATAATGTTTATAATATACAGTAATTATTTAATAACTAATCGTATATTTAAGCAATTTAAATTATTTTATTAGCTCATTACCATACTACAGATGCAAGTAGACATTCTTTAAAAATACAAATTAAATTTTGCATGATTAAATTCTTATTATATTATATTTTGTTAAATATTACGAATTTACGATACAGCTAGTCCGAAGCATTAATATGAGGTCGGAATTCTTGGTGTTTGCCATCCGGGACCATAAGTAACCTGCGGTGTGAGTTGACCTTGTTTGTGCGACAGAAAAAAATAAATATTTCCACCACCATCTAGTCCATTTATGGTCTCCTCCTTTTTTCTCAACAGACGCGAGAAGAATTTGAAAAATGCTTTGTTACGTCACAGAACTACCCTATAAGTCAATATTGACGACAAAAGCATATGTTTTGAAGGGTTAAGGACTTTGCAATTCCGAGATCGTCAGGCGCAAAGCTCCATTGAGTCTGGCGAGGAAGATCTTCATGTGAAAAAGGTTTGAAAATTCCGTACACATGTGCTTTCATAGTTTTATTAGCATCATGGGACTTCTTTGACTTGACTGAAGAAAAGCTGTGAATGTCAGGTGGACCTGCTATGTGACTCGTGAAGTACGGGGTCGATAGCAATGACACAAAAAAGATTCCGCCTTTCGTACCAGCACCTGTGAAAATTGACGATAAGGACGAGGTGCATAACCAAGATAAAACGCAGGATGGGAATTATAGATTCGACAACAGGTAGTAATGAAGCCGTGCGTTGCGAGTATATTTCCCCAATTTCATCTACATTTCCAGAAGAATAACCAAGAAAGGAATACTATGGACCCCAATTCGAAATTGTGGGCGAAGAAGCGACAGGCCGAATCGACTACGCGATCAAGAAAGTCATAGATGTCGTTAATGAGGAGTTAATAGCCATAACCGAGGGTAAGCAAAAGGACCTGGCAGCGGGATTCATGCAGAACGTGATGCAGCTCGAGAGCTCTTAGTCTGTTACCAAGGAAAAGGAAAGCGTCTGCGGCGTTCGATGATGAATTCGATTACCCCTATGGGATCGTAACAGGTAAAGCTTTGCGAAGCCTGGTCCTGTATTCTTTTATTCATACTTTATCTATACTAACCCACTCTCTTTCAGTCTTGGACTGGTACTTCCTCATATATACACCGGAAAGGATCTATTGCTCGAAAGCCGACTATCACATAGATCTTACCGAGGATATTGTGGAAGACTTCGACGAGATGTTAAGAAGGTAATGGAGGCAATCGTTGGGCTGTTGAATGACAGGGCCGAGGTTGATGATTCACCGGATAGTAAGATTGTTAGGACGAAAAAATATATTAAGGAATGAGTATTTAATTTCCACATGTATTACGAGCGTGGACCTGGTATATATTTATTTTTCGTGTATTAATTAATAAAGCAAGTCTTTCGTTTCTCACACAACATTGAATAATTCCTGTCGTGTATAAAATTCCATAATGTCAGTTAGCGAACCCATCCGAGCTTGAAGTATTGAGACAACGTAACTCTGAGCTTGAGGCGAAGAACGTCGAGCTTGAGGCTAAGATTGTTGAGCTTGAAAAATGGAGGCAACGTGCTATTCTGAACGAGGAAAAGATTGACGAGCTTAATGCTGAGAATGCTGTCCTCGTGGATGAGATTTTCGAACTTAAAAGCGAGAATGCGAAGCTCAGGTGGGATCACAAGTCTACAGTCGAGGATCTAAAACGAAAAGATACAGAACTTGAGAACAGACTCGCGAAAATGGAACAGGTTCACTAATACCTCGCTTGCTCCTGCGGAATTTCAAGCAATATATTAACGTGCATTTTTTCTACTCCGTATTTCACCCTACTCGTCCGTATATAGGAACCCAGAGGCTAGGTATTACAGTATGTCTCTTTCCAACATTCGAAACCTCGCTTACAGCATCCTTGAAAAGCTAGGGGACGATATAGTGAATGATGAAGATTTTACAGAGCAAGGGACCTGCTCGCAATGAGAAAAAGATATCTTTCAACTAGTAACTTAGAGCATTCACTGTATTGCCATGTGCTCGTATTTTCCATAGGGAATGTATCGAATAACACGTCAAAGCTACTGCCCTGTCGCAGATTGCACCACATTATTCCTGAAGTCTGTGTTTCCTGAGCGAACATTTCCGTATCATCACAACCGAGTACTCTATCGATTGCTAGTAAGGTGAGCTCCCAACTTCAGTTAAATTCTCCTGTAATCCAAGAATAGGAGCGAGGATTGGAATTGGGTGTGAATAAGGAGGAAGTAGCAGTTTAACCTGACGGTGACAGCAATAGGAAGCGGACTAACGAAGCTACGGATTCTTCTCCAAGCAAGAAATCTAAGAAACATATAGCAGAGCGTCACCCGCATCTTGAAAAATCTTATCCGGGAGTTTCTTCCGACACTACTCGAATTTCCGATATTAAGGAAAGGGAAGGGCTTCATAAGAGATTCTGCACGTGAGGACGAGGGCGTCCGAACCTTTTTGACCTTTAATTACCAAGGCTGAAAAACGAAATGAAACGCACGCCTCGAGCCGATAAGGAGCTATTATTTTTTCGGAGAGGGACTAGAGAAGCGCATCGTCCACTATAGAAAAAACTAACGAGGAGCATGAAGCCTTAAAGAAGCTCTATGACGAGATTAAAGAACAGCTTCCCAAAGAAGTTACCAGAAACGCTCTCCGGAAGAAAGCAGACAGGGCGAGGAAGGTTTATGATCTATTTTTTCGTATAGGCGATGATAAGGAACAACGGATGATATACTGTACATCCAACGAACCAAAACGTTTTCTGAAACGTCCATTTGTGTTTAAGCGTGGACGATATCAAATATGTAGCGAGCCATGTTAGGAAGAATGTTGAGTGTAGCGAAAGGTATAGTCACGTGATGTTGAAATTCTTAATATGGCGCGTTCTCAAAGTTTAGCACTTTTTTATAAAGCATTACTCTATTACGCATAATAAAAAATTAATAAAGATTTGCCTATATCAGGCTAGTATGTCTAATCAAATGTATTACAAATTTAATTTTCGCACATCTCCGGCATATCCCGGAACTTCCTCGTTACACTCCCGTAACATAAATCATTAAAATCGCTGTAAACAATCGTAAATCAATTTGCAATATAGATACAGTGAGCGATGCTGAAGCACCAGAAAGTATCCATTTGCATGCACGCAAAGAATCTGGGCATCATGTTTCATCCCGATTACAATTATATTACTGATATACTCCCAGAAAGTCTAGTGATGAGGGCATACCATAGGCTCTTGTCTCATTCCCGCAATCCTATCTCTCCGATCAGATTTCCAAATAATGTGGCCGGATAGAAGGTTATTAGCGCCATACATTAGAGATTTATTAAACCTCATTAAACCAGAAACGCAAAACTATGAGATATAATAAAACATAATAAAGCATTGCGACCTCGAAGCTGGCTAGGTGATGAGGATGACGCTCTGCGTATTTCACCTCTAAAGTTTTAAGAAAATCAGATCGATATATCTTAGATGGCGGTCCAAGATACTTTGACAACACAAATTTTCACGTTTGAAATTGTATTTTTTATATGAGAAAGACTGATGATTTTTATCACATCTCCAGAGTAACTGGCACACCTAGTCCGATGACTTATCACACAATTTTTAACAAAAAAAAAATATAAATATAAATACTAGTTAATCATATGGGAGGATATCCCCAACACCCCAGTATCACCCAAAAACTTTCGCCCTTGCATGACGCTTAAATTATTAAATATTTATTGACTAAAATTTTGAAGTTATTTTATATTTAATAAACTTTGTATTTAATAAACTGAAACCATTTCCATTTTTCATTATGTATAAAAAAATTTTTTTGATTTGTGAAACTAAAGACTTGTTAATAAAGTTTATAAATTATGAAACATAAATAAATAATAATTTCACATGACTATTACAGACTAGCAGCTAGGTTACGTTGATCAGTTAAATATTTGATTGATTATATAGTTAATTAATTTTTTTCTTAGACTCTTGCATGGTCATTTAACTTCATATTTTCTTTATTTTATTTTATTTTTTTTTTTATAAGAAATATAATTTCAAATAAAGTATTATTTAATATTGAATATGTAAAATATATGTAAAAGTGTAAATTTTCTTAAATAATATATGAATAAGATTTTTAAATTATAAAAATATTAATTTAAAAAATATTAATTTATTAAGTTTTACATGAACTTTGTTTTATTGAAAAAAATTGAAAACAAAAAACGGTTTTGGTACGAAATCTCGAAAATCATTCGAACGATATAATGACTTGTCGGGATTTGAGATTTTGATTGTCAAGCGATCTTGTGCAAGTGGCTGTCGAGATTTTAATCGGATACCACAAAAAACATCATAAAAAATTCTCTGTCAATATTACATAATTAAACTCATATTTCGCATCACATATCCAAGCTTTCTTTAGTATTACAGAATAGTTCATAATTGAATCATTTTGAAAAACACAAAAACTGTTGCATATAATTATGAAATTTTTCTGAAGGAAATTTTTTGAAGATCCAAGACCAGAGCTCCATCTTAAGCTTTTTTTTTATATTTTATTTATTATTATTTAACTTTATTATTTTTATTTATTCAGATTATTATGAGTGATTGGTGATAATTAATATTTAAGTATGCAGATTACGAACAAATTTAATTTAATTTTTTTTTTCCTTTATTAGTGCTGTGCCCCAAGTTGACGATTGCCCCAAATCAACGATCGGCCTAAATTATCGGCCCATCTTTATAATGCCTTAAGAATTTTCAAAGCATTACCTTTCACATATAGTAATCATCGATGATTATCGTCAATTTGGGGCATATTGAGATTTGGGGCACAACATTAGTATTATAAAAAATCATACAAAATAATCAATTATAACAAGAAAAAATTTTACATGGAATAATATTTTATTATATAATAAGCTTTTACATTTGGATTTTCTGCAGAAAAGTATTTAGAACTTTTATCTTTATACAATAAAAAATCAAATCACGTGATTACGCAGCATATCTTACCGCATGATTTATAAATAATATGATTTTAACTGAAGAATGTAAGCACTTTAGTAATGTTTTTATATCGTGGTTTATAGCCGTCATATAATATGAAACATTTTCAACTAGTAATTTTTTCAAATCTATCATATTCAATCCACTCTAAGAGAATTTGAAAATTTGAATTGCTTTAAACTTTAAAGTAATGAATGCAATTTTCCCTTTTTCAATCTTTTTATTCTAAATTTGTAAAAATTCGTTAAATTTCAGATATTTATATAGATTAATATTGTACTATACAATAAAATCGATCTCATTAACAACGTTTTGTCATATGCATTATTTACTATAGAGCACTCCGAACCAGTGTTTGGCAAATGACTTGAAATGACAAATGAATTAAATGACAAGTCATTTGTCATTTGTCATTTGCAAATGACCAGCCATTTAAATCATTTGACCAATATTAAATATTTTGAAAGTATTTATTGTCCGGACCGAATGCGAAGGACTATATATGTCTACGCACTATGAAAAATGACCGATCACGTGCCCCGGAATTCCAAGGCGTTACGCTGTTAATCAGTAGAAAATTGCGATCACGTGAGTTTCTTTGTCCAGGAATTCCAATGCATTATGCTGCTAATCAGCAGAAAATTACCGGAATTCCAAGGCATTATGCTGCTAATTAGTATAAAATCGCTACCATTCTTGGTATATATTAACATCTTTATTTATTATGATACCTCGCTCCGGACTTACAACAGTTCCCGTTTCCTAGTCGATAATCTTATTTAACATGAAGTAAAGAAACAAAATATAAAAAAAGATCTTGTTTTATATATGTAAAAAAAAATTTTTTCATAGTGGCAAAAGATTTTCTTATCACGTGATTTATAATTTATATTTAACGAAAGAAAATTTAAAATTTAAACATTTTCGTTCGCTTTTCCAAATAATTTACTAATTTGGCAATTTCTTGCCTTAACAATCAAACTCAAATTTACTGACCAGCCAAATGAGTCATTCTAAGTTTTAAAATTTCTACATAATTAGCAGCCTTGAATCAAAATTATCCATATAAATTTTATTTAATTTTCACATTACTTGATTTATTTTAGCATTATAATTTAAAGTAAATAAATTATACAATCATTTATATAATGAAACTAAAATTAAAAAATTATACTATAAGTCAAAATTTGGATTATTTAGCTGAAATTGCTTTTTAAAATTTGACATTTAAATGTAATTTTTTTTATTGGCTTGTTTCTAAATTTGTATGAAGAATAACACGCACCATAACAACAAATTTAAATTAACCTAATGATATTATATATAATAGTTATGCAAAAATGATTTATGGAAAAAAAAATATAAGAATTGTTGCTTAGTATTTTCCTCAATTAGGAATTGTCCAATAATCTTACAGTATTATAAGACAAATGATCGAATGACAAATGATTGGTGTCATTTGCCATAATCATAAATCATTTGGCATTTGTCATTTCGCAAATGACCTAAATGACAAATTCCAAATGATTTATGATTATGACAAAAGATTATTAGGCAAATCCTTTGAATGGTCAAATGACTAGGTCATTTCCGAACAATGCTCCGAACAGGTGGTTCTGTTCGGGTTATTGTTAACCCGAACCGAAAAATTTTTTTGGGCCAGTTTGGTTCGGGTAACCTACTCTGACCTGACCCGACCCGTTTGACCCGAAAGTATTCGAGTCACTTCAGGTAATCAGGTGCGTGACCCGATTAACCTGAAGTTTATTATGAATAAAATGGTAATGCAACGTTTTTTAATTAAAATTTATTATCAAAAAAAAAAACGTTGCGAAGAATGTCATCCATTTATTAGATAAGTCATCAATTGTCATCTGCTATATAATTATGCAAACTTGCTTTAAGCCAAATATTAACCAAATTCAGAGTAAATAATCTTGTAAATTGTGTGACTCAAATTGTATGACTCAAATCTGTGGCTTACAATAATAATAAATAGAGACTTATGAGTTATTGCTTATGGTATCTTTTTTTTTTCAACATTTCAATATTTTTGTATTTTGAAATATGACACATCTCGTTGAAGATTGTCTTAGGATTATTTTTATTGAATTGAAATATGTTCCAAGTTCTTTATATTCATGTATTTTGGTGAATAGATTTTGGTGTATTATAGGAGTACAAATATTATGGAAAAACCTTATGAGTTACTTAAATCAAATAAAGTTCGTATAAAGAATGATAGATTTTCACAAATTATTAAATTTTTTAATACAATAATTGACTTATTACCAACATTTTCAAAAAAGATATTAATTGAAAATGATGTTGTTTCAATTTTAACTCCTTTTACAAATAAATCATTATTTAATTATGTTAGTTTTTCATCCGAAATTTCATCAGATCTTATCAAAGATATGGGGATTATGGTAATTAAACAATGTAATAGTTCTTATATTCATGAGCAAAAATATAAAATATTGGAACAAGAATATTATAAATTATTTATCAATAATTGTAAGAATATTAAATACTTTCGTTGGTGTACAACATTACCCTTATATCAATATCCTGGGGCATCAACTTGCTTTTCTCAACTCCGTACCCTTGTTATTACATGTAATCTAAGAGATAAATTATTAGAAATAGCGCAAATTTGTCAAGATATTGAAAATTTGAGTTTTGATGGAGATAATCCAGGATTAATCAAATTTATTGATAATCAAAAAAATTTACAATCACTTCACTTAAGTAGTTACTCTAAAAATAGTGAAATTAAATGTATACAATTAAGTGAAACAATAGAAAAAAAAGCAGATACATTAAAACGATTTACTTTATTTGATGTCTTGCTCTCACCAAAATTCTTGCCCTCATTAATAAATTTAGAGCAACTAAAGCTTAGAATTTATTCATCAGATCAAAATATGCAAGAATTGAAAAAGTATTTATTAATTGCTTCTTTTCCAAAACTTCAATATCTCGATACACAAAATTTATCACCTCATGGAGTTTGTAGGTTAATTGAAAATTCTCAAAACATTAAAGAAATTAATACATGGAATAAATTTTTGGGGGAAGAAGCTGTATATAATATAAAATTATTCAAAGTGATTGCTAAAAATTGTCCAAATATTGAAAGCCTACATTTTAATACCCATTTGAAAAATTTAGGTGGTGTGAAAGAAATTATCTTAAATTGTAATAAATTAAGAAAATTAGGCATTGATATAATTTATGAAGATGATGGTGATGATCATGAACGTGAAATTATTTGTGATGAAGTATTAAATTATTTATTAAATTATTCACCAAGAAATTTTGATGAATTTACCTTTAATAGAAATTGGAGATTTTCGGTTAATAATCTAAAAAAATTTTTTGAAGATTGGAGAGGTAGAAAACAAATTAAATTTATTCCATGTTTTAATGAATGTGTTCATTTTACCCAAAAGCATATTGAAATTTTACATAAATATTATAATGAAGGAGTAATTGATATAGATGCTAGTCTTTCATATGGTATGCACGATTATTAATGTTATAATTATACATTCTATTTTTTTTTCATTATATATTCTATTTTTTTTACTAATTAAGTTTTAATTAATAATTATTAATAAAATTGCTTGTCTTTATGGGAAGTTGTGTCAAAAGTACAATATATGTACTTAATTTATGCAGAAGCGTTATTATACAAGTAATTTTAAAATCAATAATATGTGGAATACACTAAACATGGTAAATATATCCCAATTTACCATACATTTTTCAAAAAAGTCATTTTGATCTGCAAACAATTTTTCTTTAAACGTTGTGTCCCTAACACATTGGGGTACAGTTATAAAAATAATATCTCATCTTTTCTCATCACTTTCATGAAAAATAACACAAGTAATATTCAAGCTCCGAATTACTTACGAAATTTAAAAACTTTATAACAATATCTTTAATGAAGAAATTGAAAATATACCTCGTTGATAAAAATATATTATTGATGTATAAATGCAATAACGACAGATTACAAGTGGTAAGCGTATCTGAAAAATTATCTATTCTAACATAAGGTTAGGCGTTAAACCACAATCACGGAATCACCAGAGACTGCTAAATAAAACAAAGTAACAAACAATCAATTTAATCATTTCAATAAAAACTTGATCACGTGACATTTTAATTTTGTGCAGGTGTTGCCACCGATTTACGTTAAATAAAGTGATGGTTGTGTTTGTTGTTTATGCGCAAAAGCAGTATGCCGATTAGATTTATGTTAATAATCACAAGAAAATGTCATTATTGCCATAATAAATTTTCAAGCAAATTTTTCTCAGTGTTGCAATAAAATAAAATTTATTAAGAAAATAAGTAACGTTAATTTATCTCTATTAGTAAAACTACCTGAGAATGCGGTAACTTATGCCGGGCAACTTTCGCAGGTCTTGGAACGGCTGCGGTTTTTTTTATATAAAATACCTTTCCATCCCACCCTCAAAATTTTTTTTAAAAAATTCCATCCTCTCTCTTTTGTTCCGTTCCTTCTCTTCCCACCTCATTTTTATCATTTCCTCTTTTTATTTCTGAAACTTCCGTATTTTGCAGTTTTCTTATCTCCTTTTTTTTGGTGTTTCAAGCACTGCGTGGAGGATATTTTTTTCAAAAAAGTTTCTTTTTTAAAAAATTATTTTATGGTTATTTTCTCTCACACACTGAGGAGACTTTATATTTGACGCATTGTAAGTTATTTTACGCGTTGTTGGAGAGAGAAGTCCTGTATTATTACCAACTGACTCTTTAAGAGAGAGCCCAAAAGTAGTCCTTTCACTTCGCAATCAAAGGTGGGTGCATTACTTGTATTTAAGAGGATAAATTTTATGTGTAATATGATGAAACAATATACTAGGCGTTTGAATTTTGAGATTGTGAATGTTGGGGATCGTTTCTCAACTTTTTATTCGCAACTTGAAAATGTGAGGATCGTTCCTTTCATTTTTTTAAATTTAAATTTTATTTTTTTATTTTAATTATATTTCAATAGTTTTCCGATTTTTCACACTGACTATTAAAATTGTATATTTTATGATATATTTTATTAATACCTCTTTTTAATTCGTCAGAAAAGCATATCAGTCTTTTTTAATATAACAATTTATTTAAAAAGACATACTTTCCATACATCAATTCTCCTTCGGACACTTTGTTGCAGTATAGAACCTTGCTCTAAGTAAACTCATCCTTAGTATGATTTACAGGTGAAAGTAGAAAGAGGTAAGAGACCTGTTCCTTACTGTTAACACATGCGTCATCTCAGGATACCGAATTATTATAATTTAATGGTTAAATTATAATGAGGGTGCCGCAAAATCTTCGCTTACATGGCAGGACCATGATAAGGATCCTTATACGCATATTTTAATGGAGGTTGGAGGAAAGTATGTTAAGTGGGGTGGTTGTATCTAATTGGCGGTCCCTAATAAGGGTGACGTTAAATTCCTTAATTCCTATTCGTTTTCTTGATAGACTATTTATAAATTTCTTTTTGCTAATTAATCGTTACAGTGATCCGTGTTACTCATACATCAGTGCTTTTTGATTTTGTAGGTATTTTCCTGATAATCAGCAGAACTCGGGTCAATTCAAGTCAATATGATTTAGACAAATCAGTAATTTTACTATATTTTTAATTTTATCGAAAGTATACACTCTGTCTCTTATACACATCTAGATGTGTATAAGAGACAGATGTTATACTGTACGAACACTGTTGTGATATTAAAGTCAATCAGCAAATATATATATATATTTATATTAATTATTAAATGTTAATTGATAAAAAATTAGTAATAAATTATCTAATATTTGAAAATTTAAATTTTAGTAATTAATCTGTGAAAATGTGACAAGTTTTCTATTTGAAATAAATTAATGCTTCTCTTTTATAAATAATTAATTCAATAAATTTTTTTTATTCTTTTTTTTTAGAATTTTGAAACAGATGAATCGAGAATAATTTGATAACTTAATGCTTATTTTTTCATTTGATTTATTAATTAATGATACTTAGACTTCATTTTTTTTTATTCCTGAGAACAATCATTTATATTTAAAAAAATCATGAGAGTATTAAGAAGATAAAAATATTTCTAGAATAAATAAAACACAATATGAATATGCACTACTTGTTTTTGACGTTATATTTATCTCTAAAATCAGTTGGCTTATCATCAAATATGTATATATAAGTATATCCTTTATAAAAATATTAAAAAAATTTGGTGAAAATTCGGGTGAAAAATAAACATATTTAATATGTTACAGTACATAGGCGGAGAATGTAAAACCTATGTATATTGTATACTAAAATGATAAAAAAGAAAAAAGGGTAAATACTTTGATATTCTGATGTATAACTTTTAAGATGATAACATAAAATATTAATTAGGGATGGGCAAAGAAAGTAGAATAGTTATGGTGTTTGGTATTTTCACTTGGAAATACATCGTTACAGATACATTTATTTATTTATTTATTTTAACGAAGTCATTATTAGGAAATTAAGAAAAATTACAAAAAAGGAAAAATATCTACATCATATAACATTTAGTAAAGAACACGATCAAACTATACTAGAACATTAGGGACTTAAAATTTTATGTTCAAAAGAACTAGTATCTACCATCCTGTCCTGCACGCCCAAATAGGTTCACTAACCCGCATAACTACTACTATTCGTATAAAAAAACACGAAAAAGATCCGCATTGTGATTGGGCGTTCATTTATGTTTCTTAAAATTTCTAATAAGCGTATGTTCATTTTGTCAAACTTTTGTTTCAATCATTTAAATAAAGATAACAAGAAATCTTTATTAAAAAGGAAAAGTTCTATAGGCACTTACATTTAAAGTTACCAAAGAAATCATCATTATTCTGGCTTACCACTGTATAACAACTGCGAAACATTTATATACTGTATTTATTTTTTAAAAAAAACCCTTAATATGTATAAAGAAATAGGTTTCCTTTTCAACTAAAAATAATCAAAGAAAATTTTTTAACCATCACAACTGTTGTCTTGTGAAACGTGGTATGATAAAAATTTTTTTATTTAATGCTAGACCAGAAAAAAAATATATATATATAATTTTTTCTGTGTTTAATATGAATAATTTTTTAATGTGATATATAATATAATAAACATAAGTATATATTTTCCAAATATATAAACCAACTAGGCGTTTCGCCTTTGCTACTTCTACCTGCACCAAACTTTTCATCTTATTATTTTCGTCCACTACCTATGTAATAAATTTAATTTAAATGCTTTATGTGCTTTATGAAATGAGTGATACGAATAGTAGTAGAGTATGGTGGATGTGTTGAGTAGAGTATAACGTGGATGTGACATTATACTCAAGTGATAAATAAACACCTCGGCCCAAGCTCGGCCCAGCGGTTTAGCCGGATGTCTATTCATCACTTGAGTATGGTTCACACCCTTTATGTTACACACCGCTACTCTACTACTTTTCGTCTTACCTTTATGAAATTATGGTAATGATGTAAAGGTTTACTCTGTATCAGTTGATCAACCACTTTGGATGTAACTGATCATTTCCAAACTAGGGACGGCAATTTTCAGTCATCGGTCGGTCATAACACTGTCATAAGTGTAGGACATAAGCCCGTCATTATGATGTTTGCCACCTTAAGCTACAAAAACTAGTGTTTCGATCCAGATGGGGTTTAACAGATCAATCTGCGGTTTACTACGGTTTGGCAACGGTTTATTTGAGTTGGAGCTATAAGTTTGGCAAAACTAATAAAATTTGTAGAAGAATAATTTTTTTAAATCTGACAAAAATTATAGTTTGACAAAAATAATAGATAAATGTGATGCCAATCAACAGATCAATCTGTACGAAGCACTACAGTAACAAAAACAATCCTTTATTGAATGCAATATAATATCAATATATCCCGAGTTACATCACAAAATAAAGTAATAAAACTCTAAAATTAATCATTTATAAATTATTTCCTTATAAAATAGTCTAAAATCAATTTGCAATAACTTCCCCTTATTAATAATATTGATAAACCATTAATTAAAATAAAAAATGTAGCACTTTTCATCATAAGAAAAAGGCAAAAAGAATCGACCAATCAAAATTAAAGTATGTGGATTTAGTTAATTATTAAATCCACTCGAACTTGAAGTATATTTATACTCTATCATATGATGGCATAAGTCCCCATTGAATATGTGTGACCCATTAATACGAATAAAATATAAATAACAAAAATTCAACAAATAGTTTTATATCATTACGGACGTGGTACATTTAAAACACTTAAAATATTTATACACTTAAATTAAATATAATATTGCGCCCCAAAATTAATAATTTCACTAGGTAATTTCGGCCCTTACACCGGCCAACTGAAGAACTTTTAACCGACCGACCATCCTGACTGACGACCATCCTGACCGACCGTTTGACCAACGTTTGACAACTGTTTAATTGACTGTTTGTTAAAACACTTTAAAAAAAGCGTTTTTATCATTGCGAAACTACTTTTTTTTTATTAAAACATTTAAACGGTTCGCAACATTTTTATCAAATATTTAAAAAAATCGTTGTGAACTACTTTTTTTTATTAAAACATTTGAAAAAACCGATTCACAACGTTTTTATCAAAAATAATTAAAAAAAACTACTTTTTTTTTATTAAAACAAAAATAAAAATAATTAAAAAAAAGTTGCAGAACATTTTTATTTATTAAAACACTTTAAAAAAAGTTTTATTTTTGATAAAAACGTTGCATAATTATTTTTGATAAAAACACTTTATTTTTTTAAGTAAACCAGACCGATAACCGACCATGAATGACCGTTGCCATCCCTGAAATTTTTCTGATTGGTCAAATGGTCAGTTTAACGGTTATTCGGAAGTTTTTGACTGACCGATACGGTCATGACCGGTCATAATTGGTTAATGACCATGGCCGTTGTCATCCTAATTATGTGTTAAGAAATTTTTCTTTGTTTTACGATTTTGCTGTGCAACAATGAGGGCTTGATACAGTACATTTCAGATATTATTCCAAATATGCCGTCATACATGCGATGCTTCAATGCTTTTGCACATAATGTATTTTGCATAACAAGGGGTCAAACACGGGTCTCCAAAAAAGTAAATTTTCTATGATGATCATTTAATGTTGGGCAGAATTAAATTTAACAAAAAAACAGTAATTTGTTAAATAAATAAAAATTGACATTCAAAATTAACTTTGACGCTTTAAGTAAACTTGCGGAACAGACAAAAATATATATACTGCCTGTTCCTTTTTATTTTTACATAACTTTTTAATAAAGTCACGTGATACGTGTATAAACACCCAGTGTAAATTAAGAAATTTTCTTTCATAATATTATTTTTTCCAGTCAGAGAGAATTTTAATATATTTGTATAGTAATGGCTCTCAGTAATGATAAAGGTAATAATCATGTGTATATTTAATACAATTGGAATTCTAATATTTTTAAACAAATTTATAATATAATAAAACTAGTTTCTAGTAATATTGAATTTGAAGAAAGCAGCACTGAAGAATTAGAAGGAAGTGGCTCTGAGGAATTCAAAGGAAGTGATTCTGAAGAATTTGAAGAAGGTAGTATCAAGGAATATAAAGGTATATTGAATATGTTAAAATACTAAATTGTTTCTTTGTAAATACATTTAAATACTATCTAAAACTATTTATACCTTACATGATATACAAATATAATTTAAACTAACTATTATACACAAATATATTAAATAATTTAGCTCGTAAGTAAATAAATTATCTTATAATTGAACAATAATGGAATTACTTATCATTTTTTTTACATTTCATGCAATTAAATAATTTATTTCAATGATTAATATAATACTATAGTCAGTAAGTTATTAGTTATTTAAATCTTTAATTCTTTACTTTATTTTATTAATTTTACATAATATGCAAATAACTAAATTCTTTATTAATTAACTATTTAATAATTAATTGTATTACAGATGGTTAGTTACAATATCATATTATTTATTTAATATTCTATATAATTCAACTAATTATATTCTTTAATTAAATAACTAGATTGTAAGTGATATATTTAATTTACTTTTGTATTATATTTATATTTAACTAATAGTAATTAATTAATCATTCTAGGGTGTAAGTTATAGATGTTTATATTTCTATTATTTATATAATTTAAGCTAATTAAATTCTTTATTTAAAAATATTTTGTAATTTCTTTTAGTTGGTAAGTTATAAGTTATTTATTTAATTTTATTATTACTTATTTATATATAATTTATAAATTTAAACTAACCTAGATTCTTTATTTAAATAGATTGTAAGTTATAAGTTATTTATTTAATACTATTATTACTTATTTATATAATATTTACATATAAGATAAACTAACTAAATTATTTATTTAAAAATTTTTTTTGTAATTTCTTTCAGTTGGTAAGTTATAAGTTATTTATTTAATTCTATTAGTATTACTTATTTATGTCAGATATAATATTTGCATATAATTTTATTTTAATAATATAGGGAGTAAGTTATTTATTTAATTTGATTATTTCTTATTTATATAATATTTACATATGATTTAAACTAACTAAATTCTTTATTAAATAGATTGTAAGTTATAAGTTATTTGTATAATTCTATTATTGTTTATTTATATAATATTTACATATAATTTGAATTAACTAAATTCTTTATTTAAAAAATTAAGGGAGTAAGTTATTTACTTAAGTCTATTATTACTTATTTTTATAATATTTCAGTTGAATATAATTTAAACTAACTAAATTCTTTATTTAAATAGATTGTAAGTTATGAATTATTTATTTAATTTTATTATAACTTATTTATATAATATTTAAACTAATTAAATTCTTTATTTAAAAAATTATTTAATAATATAGGGAGTAAGTTATTTATTTAATTCTATTATTACTTATTTATATAATGTTTATATATAATTTAATTAACTAAATTCTATTTAATTAGATTGTAAGTTATAAGTTATTTATTTAATTCTACTATTATTACTTATTTATATAATATTTACATATAATTTTATTTAAAAAAATTATTTAATAATATAGGGAGTAAGTTATTTATTTGATTCTATTATTACATCATTTATATAATATTTACATATAATTTTATTTAAAAAATTATTTAATAATATAGGAAGTAAGTTATTTATTTAATTCTATTATTACTTATTT